TTAAATGTTCTGTTCTTGTAGCAGGGTAACTTTCAGTTAGTTAGAATAGATTGGATTCCTACAAAGGTTATCACCAATATTTGATTTTTCAGATTATATATTCATTTAATATGTAGGTTATTTCGTATCCTTTATTGCTACATTTAAATGAACACTCCCAGCACTGTAGAGTCTTTAGACTCTATTATGATGTGTAGTAAAATGAATCTTTTTTTTTTTTCATGCAGCATCTGGCAAACAATTTTGAAGGTGTGTGGATGATATCCCAATGTATTTAGGAAGAGTGGTATATGTACTCCGTAATAGTGGTGTGTAAGAAATCTTGAAGGAGCTAGTATCATAAGTGATCAGACCTGATAAATAGTCCTAGAGGAAGAAAATCGAAGTCCCTTCAGTAAAGTATGGATTAGGTAGAGATTCATGGTTTACAGAAAGTCATGCTTCATTATGAAACTAGATGTTAGAAGACAATATGAATTGTAGGTAATCCAAGAAATAATAACCAAGCAGAAGCTAATGTAAGCAGAATGGGATTTAGAGACAATCCATAGCCAGAGATCAATTGCCAAAGTTTAATGCCAATAGTTGAGTCCAAGTTTAAAAGGAAAATACAGAGACTCAACCTGAGTTAATTAAGCCAGAGATCCACAAGCCTGGATTTCTGTCCAAGTAATGGGGGTTAGCCAGTAGAGAATGTCCGAAATCAGATCTAAGAGTCTAGTATAAGTACTACTTCTCCCTCCCACCTTTTTTTTTCAAAAGAGAGACGTTATATAACTAATTCCTGGTTAAACATTTGTGTATGTGTTTCCCTTTCTTGGGATTTGATGGGAATTCCTTTATTTTATAATATTATTTTGGTTAAATTTATGATATGGTCTTCCCACTCATAGGGCATGCTGTTTAAAATATAAATAACTTTTCTGCTATATATTAAAACCGTTTAGGTTACTCTTATTTAGTTTATTAACTATGTGGTTTAAATAACTTTTATACTGTGTATGTTCGCAAAATTTTGATTTGAATGGGTTTCATTACTTTACTTTTGTTTAGTCTGTTAATTTTATTTAAATGAAGCCTAGGTACTTGATCCAGCGGAAGACAACAAATATTGTGTCAGAATCAAACATTCCTTCTTGACCCTGAAAAACAGCAATTTCACAACCCTGTATCAAGGACTTTACCAAAGTCAGCTACGATGGTTACCATTACATAGAACACTTATTAGTCCAACTTGAGTTAATCGATTCATCCCACAAGTTAATCCATTCCCTACCTTGTCCAAATTATACATATTTTAGCTACTTCTTGGGACCTAGGTGAATCACAGAAAATGTATTTGAACCCAGGGTTTTCTGCAGGAAAGATACTTTTTATAAATAAAAAAAAGAATATATATATATTTATTTATTAATTATTATTATATATTTTTTTAAAGCAGTCATTTGGTATGGAAGCTTTTTTTACTCCGGATGTTGGTTTTGGCCCTTCAGTCTATGTGACTATGGCTCTCCCTGGTATGATCGATATCTGCCCCGGTCATTCGATATAGAGGGGCAAAGGTCTCATTGCAACTGTTTAGTTAAAGGGACACCTTTAGTCACCAAAACAACTTTAGCTTAATGAAGCAGTTTTTGTGTATAAAGCATGCCTCTGAAGTTTCACTGCTCAATTTACTGCCATTTAGGAGTTATATCACTTTTTGTTTCTGTTAATGCAGCCTAAGCCACACCTCCCCTGGCTGTGACTGATACAGCCTGCATGAAAACAGGATGGTTTTGTTTTCAATCAGAACTTACTTTAAACGTTTTTATCTCCCACTCAAATTAAACTTGAATCACATACAGGAGGCTCCTGCAAGGTCTAGCTAGTTATTAACAGAGAAGGAGATAAGAAATTCTAAATTATGCAGAATTTGCAATGAAGGAAATGCAAACGTTAGATGACTTTATACAGGAAGTGTTGAGGAAGGCTGTAAAAGTCACATGAAGGGAGGTGTGACTGGATCTGCAAAAGCAACATGATTTAACTCCTAAATCGCAGAGAATCAAGCAGCAAGACTGCAGAGGCATGATGTATACACCAGAACTGCTACATTAAACTTAAGTTGTTTTTGTGACTATAGTGTCAATTTAAGTGTCCTACCTGATAACATGTGATTAAGGTCCCTGTAGAGCAACTTCAATTCCTGAAAACCATGTCATTGTGTAATAATTGTGAAATAAATGAGACAATAAAAATAAAACTAGGAAAGCTCCAATTTCTGGGGATATTGTGTGAAGTGTTCTTGCCTCCACCTGTAGTCAGCAACTGGAGTGGGCGGAGTAACTGGGTGGAGTGGCTTGAGTAACTGCTGTGTGGTTGGAGTGGCTGGAGTAACTGTGGAAAGGTTGGACTACGCAGAGTAACTGTGTGGAGTGTTTGGAGTGAGTAAAGATAGTAAACATTACACTAACCAATTGATTGATCAAATTTAAAAAGTGCACATGGCTAGCTTGATAGAGTGAGAAATGCATTTCAACTTTTATTTATTTATATAGCACATTTAATTGCAACGTTGTTGCCCAAAGTGCTTCACAGTTACATTAAAACATACATTTATAAAAACATTAGCAGGTGTACAAAAGGCCCTGTCTATGACATCACTTGCTGCTCCAGCCTGGCACAGGTCAGAGTATTTTGGCGGTTGCCATCTTCAAACGGTCGTATTTTAAAACCGATAAATCCTACAGTGAAGAGCTTATATTGTGAGAATCACAAGACCCAGACCTACATTCTGATGCATAGTAGGTCTCTTAAATATTAACAATGAAGGCACAGTCGCAGAATTTGCCCTTCAAATTTGAGCTGGCTAGAGTGGAGTTTCAATGAATGTCAATGGACGGCGTGAGTTGCAAACAAATGGTCATATTGTGAAAACTATCAGGACTATGGCTTAGACATTTTTAGTGGCAGCAGGGATAGCTGAACGTTTTGATATAAGATTTGTGTAGGTGGGCTTGAAAATGAGGAAGTGGTGGCAGTTTAGAAATCATGTCCTGATTTTTCAGCTTTTGTCAGCTCCCACTCTAGTTTTGAACATTTTGCCATTCATTCCTATGGGACCAATTTTGCCACAAGAACGACGATATTCCGTGAACCATTCTGCGAAATGTTCCACAAAGTAATAGCAATGCAATCGGGAACAATCCGCACGTTTCGGTATATTACTGTCTATGTAGTGTAAAAACTGTGGGAGGAGTTAGGGTGGTAAATTTGGCTAGAATAAGAATAATAATATATATG